AACATTAGCTAATTGTTATTTACTAGCTAATCTTAAATGACTGTTCAGTACAGAAATGAAGCCCAACAATCATGTTTCACAGTCCCGTGGTCTCAGCCTCAGATACTTATCAAATCACACAGAGCTCGTGTAGAAACAAACAAATGAACAAAATATGTTCTCCTTCATTTCTGTCAAACAAAGCTGTATGACACGTTTCCAGCTGTTAGTATCACGGTTGCTAGGCAACCTGGGCAGCGCGACGGAGGCTAGACCGTCCCATTTCACAAGCCTCGCACTTCTGGCCTTAGCGGTCTTTGAGGACGCGGCCCTTGAGGACCGTTAAGGCTGCGTACTTTAAGGCTGCAGACCCTGAATTGGGATACAGCCCAGTCCTGCACTCTTCCCACAGCAGGTCCACCTGTGTAGTAGCTGTACAGGGGCACGATAGTGGATACCAGAAATTTGGCAGTTAAAGTAATTCATGGTAGAAGCAATAAATTGTCAATTTAATGAGCCTGCAACAGCTTATGATTATCTCTGTAACACCATAAACTCTACTGATCTGCTCTTATAGCAAGAGGCATGTTATGCTGAAAGTTAGTGGAAGCTGATGAGGCAGTTAGCAAACTTTTTCTTAAACCTTCTTTTCAATAATTTCAATCATTTATTTTTATGTACAATCCTGAGAAAAAAATACCACGGTACAGTAACATGAAGAGAAAGGGGGTGGGAGCTAAACTGAGCTCATCAGCTAGCAGCTCTCAGACTGATCATCAGAGTAGAAAACCACAAAAATCCCGCAAACAGAGAAGCTACACAGCTTAACAGATTTATTAGACCACCGCCAGACCAAAGAAAGAGTATTAGTTATTACCAAAATACATTTTTATGATTGTGTAATGGTTAATTCAACAGTATCTGCAAGCTCTGACGCGCAAGCTTTTAATATAGTTATTGTCTTGATCCATGAATTTTCAAATTTTACTTTTACAAAAAGGCAGAAAAGATTAATAAAATAATAATAATAACACATTAAAGTTACAGAAGAATCCATTTTAGTGGCTGAATGTTTGATGAAATTCAGACTTCTGTGAAAAGTCCAGTGTCTCGGCTCAGATTTGGATACAGTTTATTTGCCTAATAAATAAAAATACTTTTTTTGGACAGATTTCTAAAACATTTGTGTGCTTTGTTTTTATAACAGGTGGTCTAACAAAGTCCATTACCCGCTGTGTATCTGGTACATGGCCTCTCCTGGGACTGATGTTCTGGTGATAAGACAGTAATTTAAATAGTGTGTATGTTCAAAGAGTGTGTGATCCAGGTTATTCTGAAGCTACCATGTAGAAATGTCTCCCAGACACATCATAGGAAGGTAATTATAAAGATGACAGCTGTAAGGACACACTGACTAAATGTATGTATGTGTGTGTGTGTGTGTGTGTGTGTGTGTGTGTGTGTGTGTGTGTGTGTGTGTGTGTGTGTCTAACAGCTAGCTGTGCAGAACAGACAGACTGCGGCTTTCTCAAGAACAGCTTCTCCAACCTGCATCACAGTGACTGAAGTCACGCTCACAGACCACAAATAAAAATTAAATTAAAGCCTAAATTTAAGTTTGTGTTTAGTTTGAGACATTTTGTAGAGAAGATCAAAGACCTGTTTGAGGGCTACGACTTGGTTTTAGGCTTAAAGTAGGTTCAGAGTGAGGTTAAGTTGGGGTTTGGCACGTGGTTGTTAGGCTTGTGGGTAGAAGAGCTTAGGATGACAGCAGTGATGCTAGAAGTAATACTAGTAACAGTAAGATTAAACAGTCGCACGAGTTTCCACCGGGACTATGGCAACCTGTTTAAGCATGTTTTTATGTTCAGGATGTTTAATGAATCAAATTCAAGCACAGTTCAATTATTAATATGAGAACATGTAATGAGGCCGATGACCAGCTTCCTTTACACTAACATGGCTGAAACATACTGACCGGAGCTGCTCGCTGCCCATCTGAAAGAACCAGCACGTCGGTCAGTTCTGAAAAAGAAATCATCTCCTAACTGACTTTAATCTTTTCAGTTGTATCATTTTTGAGGTTATTTATGAAACTTTATAAACTAGACATTTACACTTAATGTCAGCTGATGTCTACTCCTAAAACAACTGAACTACAGTGGAAACTGAACCTTTTAGATCTTATGTTTTTTTTAAAGTCAGTTTAAATCCCTACAAATGAAGAGCTCAACAAATCTTCGATTTCTGCCCCTACTTTCATTGGCAAAGAAGAACTCAGCTGCAAATACATACGACTTCTCTGTATTTCAATCTTTAAGTTTCACTTAGTCATCTAAACTTTTTTGGGGGTGGACGGCGGCTGAATGAGTGGACGTAGAACAGCCCGAAGCAGGAATCCTACATTTGCACACTCCACCCGAAGTGCAGACCGGCCCCGCTGTTCTAATAGCACGTCCGAAGAGCCACGTGTTGAAGAAATAATGGCCATGATCACAGCTGGGCGCAGTGCACAGAGGAGACAGAGGAACAGCAAGGATTCAGCACTTTTATTTCATCCTCTCCTCCTCTCTCCCCTCTGGCCTCTGCTGGGGTTGTCTTGCAGCCCTGGTCCTGCTACTGAGTCACGCTGGGCTCTGATGAGCCCTTCGTATTTTTCTTGCGTTTCTTCTTGAGCCGGTAGACATGGAAGGTTTTATTCTGGAATGTTCTGGTAAAGAGAGCGTTGTAAGCTGCCGCGTCCGTCTTGATGGCATCACAAAAACGAGGGTGGGTGGCAGGGACGAGGTCGGGGTCATCCTCTCCAGGTCCGTCCATGATCTGATAAGAGAACAAACGCGTCACCATTAACAGCAACGAGAATGACGGCAGGCTGAAGCCAGCACAATCGAGATAAAGTCCACCGGCAGCAGCCTCTGATTTCACTTTGCTCTGCCAGTTAGATCTGCCATAAAATCTGTATGGATGCTTTAGTGCATTAAGGCCTAAAGTGAGTCTAAATTAATAAATATTCTGCTTTGGGATTATCGATTGCAACATTGATAAAACAGCAGCCAAAGAAGGCTGAACCCAAAGAAAAAAAGAGGCAGTGCAGGACATGTGGAGATGCTGGCTTCAAGGACGGATTTTCTTGGAAGGAATAAGATACTCATTAGCAGCACTGAAGGCCATTAACAAAAAATATCAGCTTCTAAAAAGGATCCCACTGTTTGCTGGCGAGATGCAACACTTCCAGTTTTAAAAGGTGGTGGGTGGGACTGTGAAAGCTTCTGAATGATAAACTTTTAATGAAAAAAAAGAAAAGGGATATTAACTTTTTGTCAAATATTCAGTCATGAATATTTTATGGTTTCACACACTTGAATTCTGAAAGTGTCACGTTTAAAAACACTAAATAAGCCACAACATGAAAAGCACTGAGCCATGTTAGAGTGGAGCTACAAAAACTATTTTGAGGCTTACAGTGAAACTGTACAGTGTATTAAGGCAGCGGCCCCCAACCCCCGGGCCATGGACCGGTACGGAAAATTGACGATTTTCAGGGTTTTTATTGTTAACTCTGTTTCCCGGGGTCTTGTGTTATGAATTCATTTTCTATATATTTTCATGTACTTTGTTTTGTAGCCGTGACTTATTTTGAAAGGAACGTTTATGTGTTACCATAGCGACCAGAGAGGAGGCTGTCACTTTCAATGTTGTTGGTGCATTTCAGGAGGACGCTGCTAACAAAGTTACACAAATACACAGTGAATTATTATATTTACAAAATAGCACCGTTCTTGTCGTGGTCGGATCATTTTCTTTTGTTGTGTTTATCAGCGACGCCTTGAAGGCCGGTCTGTGAAAATATTGTCTGACATTAAACTGATCCGTGGCACAAAAAAGGTTGGGGACCGCTGCATTAAGGGACAGTGTATAGAGTACAAATTAGCTTCTGAGCAATATGTATAAATATTTAGGTTCATAATCACATGCAAACACTCTGCAGTGGGTATTTGTAATTATTTGGTGATTTCACTTTGCATTTTCATTGGAGTAAGATCATCATCAAGGTTTTCCAGCTGTAAACGACGCCACACAGGTCATGTGGATTTGGCCCGGTGAGTTAGAAATGTCTTGATGGCACACGGGGAGATTTTAATGTGGTGGCTGCCTGGTGTGTACAGTAAAGATACAAACAGGCAAAACTTAAAGTTTCCAGGAGAACATCACATTTTATAGTTTGTTATAGTCATTAACACTCGGGGTGTTACAGGGAAAGCACTGGATCACTGAGCAGGAAAAAAAGGAAGGCATCCTTAAAAATGAAAGCAAAAAAAAGATGAAAAGATGCAAAGAAGGAAAAACAAAAGCAGGCAGACAGAAAGACCAGAGGTGATAAAAAAAAAGTAAGAGCTAAATAAAAGAAAGTATGAGAGGAAGCGAAGGACAGACAGAAAGAGACGTAAATCCAGCATTCCTTCAATAAAGCTGTCTAGATGTCAGATGTTGTGTACGCTGCGTGACATTTACGGCGTCGCGAGCACACCCCGACTCTGCGTTTCATGTGTCTTACACGATGCTGGGCCAGACCGAAGCTCGCCTCGCTTCTGGTAATCCAAATAGCCGGCGAGCCGCATCTGACATCAAAATAAAGAGTCTGGGGGAGTGGGGGTGAGCGGCGGCAAAAGAGTGAGAGACAGTGACGCGCAGATAAGAAGTGGGACTATTGATCTGTCTGCAGAGGCTGAGAGCTTTCACCGAGTCGCAGGAGTCGGCAGAGGGGACGGCGCATGCTGACACACACACACACACACACACAGTGAGTCACATTAAATGAAAGCCACCCACATGTCCGTTGGCCAGGTCGAGCAGGTCCCGCAGTCTGCAGCCCCGCCTGTGCCTCCGCTCGTAGCAGATGCTGTTTTCCAACACCACATAGTCGGCCCCAATAGCCTTCAGGATATCGTATACTTCCTCTGGGGAGCGGCGAGCGTACACTTGATACACCTGTTCTCACACACACACACACACACACACACACACACACACACACACACACACTGTGTATTTCCTGAAAGGAAGCCAATATTAACTTGATATTGCTGGGAGGGGAAAACTTCTCCCCTGGAACTCAATTACCCGACACATTTGTTTTCTGAATTACACTTTATGAAACTTGGTTTATTCCAATTAGGAAACGTTTACTTTGAAAAACAAAAAAAATAGAATGAAAACAATTATGACTCAAACAAAACCCGCCGGGGAACAAGAACTAAAGCTGAAAACATAAATCCCAGCTTCCAGGAAAACTCTCATGGTTCATCTTTTATTTGTAGCAGGCAAAAGATTTAAATGGACAAATTATGCAGCCCATAAATACTGCAAAAACTGGCTAAGAGCTGATTTATTGTAAGGCTAAAACGCAGTGAAACAGCAACTTTTAGAAAGGTTCAAATAAGCTGTAAAAAAAGCATCAATCCAACTGAATCTCACCTGTGACTGAAATCACACTAATTTAACCACTAAGTGCTGTTTTAGTTTGTTTGTTGGTGTTTTTGGATCATCTTAACGGTGGATATCAAATATACTCACTACATTGTGCTTTCAGTGATTAACCACAATGACACAAGCATGAGCATCTTCCTTTGCAAACGAGCCTAAATCTGTCGGCGATGATGCAAAAATGACGAGCGTTCACTGGAGCCATTTGGAGAGCCCTTCTGTGGCTGGTGATGAAATATGGTGGAAAATCACAATGGAAATAAAGTGACAACTAAATATTAGATATTAAAAATAGTCAAGAACTGACAGAATCTGATACTAAGTGAGGGATGAGTCTAAAAGTACTACAGCGTAGTATCATTGTCACAGTTTATCCTCTCGAGATGATCTCATGAAAAGCTCCAAATCAATATTTAACTGATCCAGCTCTCAGTGTATTTTAAAATATATATATATATGTCAACTGCTGTAAATAACCAGCTTAGAACAATTCACTGAACCACACTGTGTCACTGAGATGAAGTAAAGCACTGCACGGCCTGGCGGACAAAGTCCTGGCAGCATTATTGTAAAACCCCAGCAGGTTTTCCAGGCAGAGTGTCAGTAAGCATTTTATATTCGAGCATTTGATAAACAAAAATGTGTATTGCGCTCGAGTAAATAAAGAAGTCAACTAACAAAACTGAATCTAAATCACTGCTGATTTTTTCTTGACTTTTCTTCCTCCGTCTGAACCACAAACGAATTCAAGGCTCCGAGTCTTTCACGTAGCTGTAGCCTGCAAACACCTGCAACCTACCAAGCTAACGCAGTCTGGACAGTTCAGACGGGGAGGGGGTCGATATCAAACCAATGTCTTGCCAGAGGGCAGTGTTAACAGAAGAAAACGTTAATCGTTTCTCTTGAACTCACAGATTGGTGCTGAGTGAAAGTCCGCTGATGCCAACCCTACAAGCTCCATTTGATCAGCTATGAAAACATGATGCCAAGTCACCAGACACTCAGGAAATAATCAGGGCTGTAGCTGAATATAATAGACCAATACTGGTCTTATCTCCAGTTTTTAAAGAAGAGATGCCTCTTCATTTTTTTGTCGTTTTCCCCTGTTGTGTCAAAATTGGCGTCGACCATTTTGCTTGACTAAGTGGAGTCGTGGCAACTTTTTACGTTGACTGCACGAGAGCTTTTCTGTGGATCAAGATGTATGTAAGAAAGTAATGAGGATGGAACCCTTATGATCAACAACTGCAGTCCTAAAACCTCTTAGTGGGTGCCAAAAGATTCTTGAAGTATCTAAGTCGCAGAATTTTATCAGAAGTGTAAAATAAATTAAAACAAAGAAGCAATCAACCTTCCTTTATTGGTCTTCGAATGCATTTTAATGTTTGAAACGGCTTTGTTCTGCTGATTGAGCCCTACTATTGTCCGGGGCTGCCCTCATGATTTAAAGTGCACTGACATGAAGTCAGTTATGAATTGCTGCACATAAAGTGAACTGAATTGTGCACTATTATCTGTTGAGATTACAATTGGAGCCAGAAGGCGAACACGATGCAAAGACCACAGAACTGATTATGACTGAAAAGCAGCTCATGTGTGAGCAAAAACGAAGCTATTGTAACAACACGACAAAAGGATATAATCGACTACAGCAGTGTGGATTTCTCTGAAGAAAAAAAACATGTTTGACTTTAAAATGGTTTAGCAAAAGGGTTATAATAAAATCAAGTTTTCCTAATTGAGGTTTAATTTACTTAGATGTAATACAATTTTCCAATCAGATGGTCATAAAAGAGGAAAATAAACCAATTTCTGTCAAATGATGAAATTTCAATTCTGCTTTATGGCTATAGCACCAGTTCACAGCGGCTTTCTCTGAGTGCTGTAAATCTTTAAGACCCCAGAATATTAGAAAAGAGAACCCCAACAGTAAGATGATCCCTTAGCAGTAAGCATTTGTGGGGAGGAAGTTGAGGAGAGGGTAGATAAATATACAGGATAGCAACACATGGGGATGACAAAGTTCTCGAAGCATCATAGGAAGTTCCCGAGCAGCTTGAGGTTATATGTAGATTGTATAAAAGGAAACACTACGTCCACACGTACACGGGTATTTTTAAAAACGGAGATTTTACGTTTTCATTTTAAAAAATAATCCCGTCCACACATAAAGGCAGAAATGAAGGAAAAGGCTGCTAGGAACATGCCAAAGCAACAGGTGGCGCTAGATTCCTAACCGCACAGAAATGTTGACCAATCAGAAGTCTAGAAGCCTCGGTGGGAAAAAGTAAACAAAGCTGGGGCATAGAAGCAGAACCGAGTCGTATGTGTGGAGGGACAGTAACTGTGTGTATATGTAAGCATTTAAACACTGCAGAGAGTAGAATTACAACAGTAACAGTATTGTAGAAATTCATTTCACCGAAACAATAACGTGGCGCACAGTGTGACGTCAAAAAAGGCGCACACCTTTGACGCTGCGTTTTCTGCGTTTTTCTCGTCCACACGTAAATGCAAAAACTGAGTTTTCAAAAATATCCACCCTGGCCGGAGTTTTTAAAAAACTCCGTTTTCAGTGACCAAAAACGCCGTTTACGTGTGGACGAAAGGTGCAAATGCATAGAAAAACCTGCGTTTTCAAAAATACCCGGGTACGTGTGGACGTAGCCTCAGACTGGAATTTGCTATTAAGAGTAACTTCAAAGACAAATTTAAAAAAAAAAAGTTTACAAAAGTAAAGGAAACCCCAAAGTGTGTATGAAAAGCAGTGAGTACACATGGAAATCCCATCAGTATATCTGTGAAACATGGAGGTCATGTCATGGTTGGTGGTGTGCTGCTGGCTGTGGCACCTGCTCGCTCTTTATTGATGATGTATTGCATGAATTCAGAAGTAATCCGTAAACGAACCGCACTTATAGAAAGCCTCTTCTGTCCTTATTGACCGCTTAAAGTGCTTTACTACGGTGGCCCTGAGAGGCCAAACGGACTGCAACTTCAGAAAACACTTGCAAAAAGAAAAATGCTGCAAAAAGAAAAAAATGCTGTTTTCTGAAGTTGCAGTCCGTTTGGCCTCTCAGGGCCACCGTACTTTACTCTCCAAACTACATCCATCACATAGTTTAGGATGTTGCCCGTGGTTACTTGAACATGCAGGCTGAGGATGCTGGAGATCAAACCACTGACCTTCTCATTAGTGGACTACCTACCATTGTGTGCTGTAAAGAAAGAAAAACTATGGCTATATAAAAGGACCCCCTCAAATCTCATTAGCTCGTTCTTTATCCTGCAGCAACCACATAATAGATTTTATTGCTTTTTATTTCCACTGACATGTCTGGAAAAAGAGACTGAAACTTGCTTTTCCTAAAAATGTTTTTGTGTGAGAACTAAGTCAAAATCAGTATCGCCCCATCAGCTCAGATTT